TTTATTGGAGAAATGACCTCAGGAAACAGCAGTAGGGAAAAGGTAGGAAAAGTCAAAGATAAGCAATCAAGTGTGCCTTCCCACAGAAAGTAGCACTGTGAAAAACTCGAGTTTAATCCTAAAGGGGGAATTGTGTAAAGGTGTGCCTTAGACTTTGTCACAGAAGGGGCAAAGGAAAGGAGTATTTATATACCAACTTCTGTCAGGGTTAGCTGAGGGTTGCTCCTGAGTGTTAGTTTCCGAGATTTTTGACTGCTAATGACTGCAGGGTTTCTTTGGGAAGTGATGAAATATTCTGCAAGTGGATGATGGTGGTGATTGTACTTGTGAATATACCAAAACCCACTGAATTTTATACTTTAAAAGGGTTAGTTTTCTTATAGGTGAACTGGATTTCATATAATACTAGAGGCCAGGCACATGAATTCGTGCACAGGTGGGGTCCAGCTGGCCCGCCCGGGTTGGGGCTGATCAGGGCTGGGATGGCTGGGAGAAGGGGCCGTGGGGTGTTGGCTGGCCAACCCCGTCCCCTGATCAACTTCTGGTCAAGGGGACAATTTGCATATTAAGCTTTTATTATATAGGATATGCAAATTGTCACTCCACCAGATGGACCATTTTATGCATTCTATTTAATAATTAGCCATAGATATGATTGTTCCACAACTTATTCAACCATTTACTGATGGGCAGTGAAATTGTTTATTGCCTTTTGTCTCTACAAACTACTTGTTTATATTTATTCCTATTTGCTTATGCTTTTACTCCGTAGAGCAGATTCCCAAAAGGGCCATTCCTGGTCAATTTTTAGCAGATACATTAAATTATCTTGCAAAAATTTAACAACTCACAACTCACCAGCAATAAATGAGATAGCTGACTTACATATGCTCTCACCGGCACTGATATTTTTTTCACTCAGAGGTAAAAATTATTTTTATCTCCATTTGAGATTCAGTATCTTTTTATGTCTATTGGCCTTTTTCAGTTTCTCCTTTTACTGTCATTTGTCTAGACAATTTACTTTATAAAAGCTGTTGAATTTTATCATATGCCACAACAAGTATGTTTCCCCTTTATTCTGTTGGCATAACGAATTATTTTGATATATTACTTATTCATTGTATTTGGATTGAAATCTATTTGGCCAGATAGGCTGTTATTTGAATAACTAGAATTTCTATTTTTACTTAGACTATTTCTACTAGTAATAGTAGATCTATCGTTCTCTTTTTAGTTATATTTATCTGGTTTTGTCATTTAGCCTGTTTGCTTCATAAATATGACTTATGGGATCTCCTCATCTTTTTTCTGTGAATAGTTAAATAACAGGAATCATCTGTTTTTTGAGGATGGACAGGTTTCAATGATAAAATCATCAGGTCCTGGAGCCTTTAAAAAGGCAGGCTTTAGCCGTGTTCCTAATTTGTTACAAGCAATGGTCTTTTGGAGTTTCCATCACTTCCTAAGTGAACCTGGCTTATTTATATTTTGCCAGAAAATCATACATTTCCCCAATATTGATAGAGTACATATCCTTTTGTAATTTTAATTTTAAAAATGTCTTCCATAGCTTTTGCAGTTCCTAGCATTGCATGTTTTCATCTTCCTCTCTTGTATCCTTAGGTTTTCCAGGGTTAAGTGAATTATAAGTATCAGGTTTGTTTTTATGTCTTCTAAGTTGTTTTTCTTTTTAAATTAATTTCACTTTCATGAATTCCTTCCTCCTACTTTTAGGTTTATTTTTTTTTCTATTTGTTAAGTTGCATGTTTAGCTTATTTCAAGTCCATTTTTAAAAATAAACATTATTTGAGTTGTTTTCTTTTAAATACAGCTTTAGCTGTGTCCCACAGATTTTTTTATTTAAAAAAAAAGTTTTCATGTTCATTACTTTTTAGATAATTTTCCATTTGCATGTTCTTTATCTTCACTTCAGAGATAATTTAAGTTTATAAAAACTGTCTTTACATTGTAAGAGAAATACATGTCCATGGGAACATACTGGAACAGTATAAAAAGATGTACTGTAACAAGCAAGATAGTCTCCAACAGAGACCTCCCAGTCCTCTCTCCAGAGAAAACTAATCTTGATCAGATTCTGGTGTTTCTCCAGTAATATGAATACACTGTACAAATATGTTGTGAAAGGCATTCCTTAACTTCTATTTTATTTTGTTAGAAGGCTGCCCAAGGTCATTGGTATGGTATGGTGGGTTTGAGGAGCCAAAGACTTGTTCTACTCTGGTCTTGAGTCTCTAACCCTTCTACAGTTCAAATTTGAGAAAGGGTCACAGAATGAACTCTGATGGTCTAAATTTGTAGATTTCTGATACTGGTTTTATTTTGTTTGCTGTGGAAGTCCAGAGATGAGAATTTATGACCTTATGTTTTTTTAAAAAATATGTTTTTATTGGTTTCAGAAAGGGTAAGGGGGGGAGATAGAGGGGGAGAGAGAAAGAGAGAGAAACATCAATGATGAGAGAAAATCATTGATCGCTTGCTCCTGCATGCCTCATACTGGGGATCGAGCCTGCAACCTGGGCATGTACCCTGACCAGGAATCAAACTCTGATCTCCTGGTCATGGGTTAATGCTCATCCACTAAGCCACACTGGCCAGGCATGATCTCCTTAATCTGTGGAGCATCTTTAAGGGATGGATCCCACTTTTGGCAGGGAAGGTTCCTTTTGTTTAAATCCTATGATGATGGTGAGGTGTTTGCAATTTTGCGACCCATGAACGCTGTCTTTCTTCCCCAAACAACACAAATAAATAACCATTCTAAGTAAAATCAACGCTTACCTTGTAAAGATGGGTTCAAGGAAGATTCTCCAGCAGCTCCGCCTCGTCTCCATTGTCAAATCTAGACACTTGCCACTCCTGAAATGGTTCCTAATGGTCTCCACTCTGTTTTTCACATTCTTGTGAAATCTCCTCCGTGTGTGTGAGATGAAGCAGATTGCCATACTGAAGCTGAGGGCAGCCTCTAGCCCAGTGGTTCTCAACCTTGGCTGCACATTAGAATCACCTGGGAATCTTTTTAAAATCCTGATTTCTGGGCCTCATCCTCCGGAAATTCTGTTCCTTTGTTACTAATGTTGTGGCCTCACCCCATAACAAAGAAACAGAATTTCCGGAGGATGAGGCCCAGAAATCAGGATTTTAAAAAGATTCCCAGGTGATTCTAATGTGCAGCCAAGGTTGAGAACCACTGCTCTAGCCAATAGCTTGCAAGAAACTGCAGCCCGTAGTTAAACAGCCTGGAAGGCTTGAGTCCCACCAATTACCGGAGGGAGCTAGAATGTGGGTCCCTCTGCGGTAAGCCTGGATATGACTGCAGCCTTCTGAGAGACCCAGTGTCAGAGAACCCCTTTAAGCTTTGTTCATGTTTCTGTCCCAAAGAAACTGTTCCAAATAAATGTTTTAAGCCGCTAAGTTTTAGAGTAATTTGTTATGGAGTAATAGATAATGAATAGGCCTGTGTTTTAGAAGTTCTTTGTAAAACCTGTGATTATGGGAGCTTGTTTTTTTCCAGATAATTGGTCTGGGGAAGAATTATGTGCGTCACCCAACTCCAATCACCTGTTCCCATTGGCCCATACAAATGCAGGTTTTGAAGATAGAAAAGCAAAAAATTACAAATCTGATCAAGGAGAGAACAAAACTTAAAAATAAAAACATTACCATTATATGCCCATTAGAATGGCTAAAATAAAAAGTACCAATACCAAGTCTGGAAGATGAAAACCAACTTGGCCTCTCAGACTTTGTTAGTGGGGTTGTAAAATGGATAGCCATTCTAGAAAACAGTTTTGCAGTTTCTTACCAAATTAAAAACACACTTACTACATGACCAGCAGTCACACTCATGGGCATTCTAGAAAAAGGAAAACTTTTGTTCATACAAAAGTCTATACACAAATATTCAGAGTAATTTTATAAGTGATAGCCCAAACCTGGTGTATTAGCCAGGGTTCTTCAGAGAAATAACCAATAGGATGTGTGTGTGTGTGTGCGCGCGTGTGTGTGTGTGTTCGTTGTGTTGATGGAAAAACTCTGTGATGGTTATATTAGCTATACATGTGATAAAATTTCCTAAAACCACCCCTTCAAAAAAGTGAATGTAAAAACTTGTGAAAATCATATATGGTCTATGTCAGTTTCCTGATTTTAACAATGTACTATGGTTATGTAATGTTGACGTGCATTGAGTTCTTTTTAATATAGGTATAGTGGCACTGTATAATAAATACAATGCTTTGCCATCTAACTCAAAAGCAAAATAATCCACACTCCACTATGCCTTAAAAGTGTGACATCTGGTCTGGCCTGTGTGGCTCAGTGACTGAGCATCAACTTATGGACCAGGAGGTCATGGTTCATAGGGCACATGCCTAGGTCAGTGGTCAGCAAACTCATTAGTCAACAGAGCCAAATATCAACAGTACAACGATTGAAATTTGTTTTGAGAGCCAAATTTTTTAAACTTAAACTACATAGGTAGGTACATTGTTATTAACTTAATTAGGGTACTCCTAAGGCTTAGGAAGAGCCACACTCAAGGTGCCAAAGAGCCGAATGTGGCTCGAGAGCCGCAGTTTGCCGACCACAGGCCTAGGTCATAGGCTCAATCCCCAGTATGGGGCTTGCAGAAGGCAGCCAATTGATGATTCTCTCATCTTTGATGTTCCTATTCCTCTTTCCCTCTCCCTTCCTCTCTGAAATTAATAAAAACATGTTTTTTAAAAGTGTGACATCTGACATTTTTCTCTTTCTTGTTTTGACATGATGGATATACACTGGTATTTTAAAAAGCCACAGAATTGTGGTATTTGTAGCCCTTGAAGTGTTGTCAAGTTCTAACTGTGTCACTGTGATCTTCAGTGTGCCAAGCAGCAGTGCAAGGTGATGAGTGCACCGTACAGTCTCTGCCACGATCCACCCTCACTACTGCAGTGTGAAAGTAGCCATAAACAATGCGTAAACAAATGAGCATCGCTGTGTTCCAATAAAACTTTATTGATGGACACTAAAATCTGAATTTCATATAACTTTCACATGCTACAAAACATTATTCTCCTTTAAAAAAAACATTTGATAACGTAAAAATCATTTTAGCTGGTAGGCCACACAAAAACAGGTGGCAAGCCAGATTTGCCAACCTCAGCCTAACCTCATGGGTCCTATTCTAAAGGTGGGGGGAAACAATAACAAAATAAGTGAGCACATAAAGTAGACAGTTTTGTGTTATAAATGAAATTAAAGTGTAAGGTGGTCAGGGAATGTGTCTCTGAAGGAATACATAAGATGAACCTGCACCTGAAGGAAGAGAAGGAGCCAGTCATGAGAAAAGTTGAGTACAGAGTATTCTAGAAAGAGAATAGCAAGGGTAGAAACTGGAGGCAGGTACAAGTTTGGTGGATTAAAGGAATCAAACATGGATGGCACCATTGTTAAGAATTTAACTCTAGTTGACTACAGTAGGATCTAGCCTAATTTTATACACTGGGTTTGTGGTCCCTTGCTAATTTATATGACCACACCAAGAATATGATATTTAAAAAGAGAGAGAGAAAAGGAGAAAATACTTTTATTTTTGCCAAATAGTTCTAAGAAAATACAGTATCTCCTATATGATCCAGAATATTGAGAACAAATATAGTTGGACCACACAAGTTATTTCACTAAATGCTCATCCTTAGGTTATGCTGCTTCATTTTATATTTGCTTACAATACAAATGTTTTGCTCACTAGATGATTTAAGGCCACTTATAGCAGTTTTATATAAAAAGTCTCGTTTCTTTATAAACCTTAACATATTAAATCCTCTGTTTACATCTTTTTGTTTTTATGTTCAGCCCAATGTGAGTGTGCCAAGCTGGTTCTGATTTCTTCTAATACAATGAAGGGAAAATCATTTTTAAGTCTTCATTGATTTGTGGCAATATTTGTATTCAACAATCAAATGCTACACCATTTCCTTTTAAATGGCTATGCACTTAATTAGTTTCACTCGTGTGTTCAGCAATTAATTAGTTTTGGAGACTTCTATTTTGGTATTGAACCTGAATATTGACAGTCAGAGTATATACTGTATCAGGATTGCAATGCATGTTTTCTAATCACACCACATAAAAAGTTTTCACATTTGAAAACAAAGTTCTTCATTGTAATATCATCTAATATCTTTCATAATTGTGAAATACACTTCAACCAGTTTCTTTTTTTCATTTATTTTCTCCAGTATTGCTTCTAGTAAATATGAGGCAAAGGGAAGCTGTAAGAGAAACACAGGAAAAAAAGGATTATCAAAACTCTATATTTTCTTCAGTTCAAAAAATATACTAAATATCATTAAACCATTAGAACTTGGCTGTCTGCAACTTTGCACCCGTATGGTACCCTACTGGGTCTCTTTTCAACTGATCTTGCTGGTTAGTGTGGGTAATTCTGTCTTTTACAATAAAAATGATAAAAGAGCTGAAGTAAAATGAAAAAAGATAAACGCCTTATTGAACAATTCATGGTTTACTGACCATGTTAATGATGTAATCTGCAATACAAGCAGCTAAGCCATTTATCTTCAATCAGCTGATCAATAGCAGGTTACAGTCATCTCTAGGGCCCAGAGCCCACAGAAATGGTACTGTATGTTCATCACTCATAAAAGAATGAGAGAGAACTATCAATACACTTGTCTGTGTTAGAGCTGAACATCTTAAGTTGTAGGGTAAAATTTCAGAGGGAAAAAAAATGGCAAAAGTATACCCATTGATTAAGTTGTTATAGAAAAGTTTGGCATATCAAAGTGTAATACACATGTTGCAAACTGCTGAGTTTATGAAATGCAGAGTATATTTTTAAATTTCATAATTTATAGAACTTTCCTAGTAAAGTTTTATTGTTCCCCCTGCTTCACTGGGTTGCCTGTAGAACTCCAACTCATACAATTTAAAATGCTCCCCAAGTACCTCCCTTATAGCCCTATCCACTTCCTTTTACCCTTCTTCCCTATCTAGTCTCATATAAAAGATTTATAATAATAAGTTCATTAAATCATTTCTTGGAGTTGTCCTCTTGATTAACCAGTGAAAGGTACGTGTTTTTTCCTGAATATACTGATGAGAATGCTTGTCATGCCGGATCCCTTCCCTACAGAGTTGTAACAGGCCCTTCTTTGTGCTAGGACGATCACTGACAGTATCACTGGTCAACACTGAGCAAAGATGCCCTCTGTATGAGCTGCTTAGCTATGCTCAGCTCAGCTATGCTCAGCTAAGGTGATTACAGTTAGCTAAACAAACCAGGATGGTTCTTGTCCAAATTTGAACTGGGTAAAAAGAAAAGATTGGCCAGTAGCAGTGAAAATAGTCCAGACAGGGACACAAACAGGTGCCCGCATGCGCATGCTTGCACGTGTGAACACACACACACACACACACACACACACGTGCATGAACAAAAACCACCTTACATAGGTCCTGAAAGAGAAATAGAGACTGAAGCTGCGCCACAGAATGGTGTCAGATCCTAAATAACTTTCTAGTTTAACTTCCTTCTTAGCTTTATAATAAACTGCCTTATCCTTAAGGAAGTCTGTGTATCAGGACGGACTATATCTATAGTTTATATCAGAGCTTTACACATTGGTCTTACTGGACACTTACCATTACAGAAAGCATAAGATACCAAAATATCATGTATATTCAGTTCTAAGATACCGCTGAATATAAAAGGCACACATTGATTTTAAGAAACAGCCTTTCCTGTGAAAAACTCTACCACTTGAATATACCCACACTGCATATGCATTCCAATTTCAGAAATGTAAAAATGTGGGGAAATATCATCTTAGAATCAATGAAAAAGAATATAGATTGGGTACATTTACAACTGAAACTATACTTAAAATATGACCTGCCTTGTATAGTCTTTAAAAACTCACATGGTCTGTTTGTTTGCCATATATTTTTAAAGTGAAAAATGTTTTGAAAACAAAAGATCTGAACTTTCTACTACTTTGGAGTTTAGTTCATACAGTCAGTTTAGAGTCAATTGAATTTTCTCCCTATGACTCTGGAGGGGCTAAGGCTCTTCAGAACCTGCTCAAATACAGAAAGCACAACCGTTCTTGTACTGGTGAGATTTTGGAGTTGGATTGAAGTGGCAACATGATGGGACAACAGCAAAAATTTTTTTCTCACTTGCCCTATATATATTATCTTTATTGTTGAAAGTATTACAGATGTCCCCTCTCCCCACCATTGGTTCTTGGTTAATCTCTTCACCCCTCCTTCCCTCTAACATTCCATTCCCAACAATTATGCTGCCTCAAGTTCCATTTCCAATGGCACATGCCAGGGAGTACAAAGCCCAGAAAGCCTGCCTGACGTCTTTCTTTTGCATCAAAAAGGAGAAGCAATACTCCCAGTAATGACAATGCAGAGTTACACAAGCTTGAACTCCTCAGCATCAGAAGAAAAATGGAAAGGTAAAGAGTTGATACTACATGAGATTTCTTAGTTTGAAAATTCAGCTAAGGACGTGATAATTTTACTTGTCTACACTATAGTCTTAAAGTGGGTCTTCCTAGTTGGTCTGCCTGTCCCCGTTGTAAAAGGTGATTTCTATTACTGGAGGGATTTCTCCTGACCTCACACAGATTTTCAGTTTTTCTTACATGGAAACACCTACAGATGTTTGCCTTTAGCAACTGCTAAGCCACTGACAATCTCAAATTTATCACTTACACTTACAAATAGTGGCTTCATTTAGAGGTATTTCTGAATAAAGGTAAGATATGAATGATGGTTGCATATGTTGAGAGCCACTTGGGAAATATAGCAAAGCCTAAAGACCATGACTGGAACATAGTCATAAAACTTAGAGCATCAGCACTAATTGGAATGTAGTCCTTAATAATGTAAAATTAAAATTTTTTGTGCTGAAAGAAAATAATTAAAGTAAAGGTAACATAAATCTAAGGGATAAGATTAACATTTTCACCATTTTCATTCTTGTTTTTGGTTTGAAAACTATTATTATAAAGATATTGCTTAAAAATATGAATTGACTTTAATCTAGTTTGAGTCATATTGAAAGTGAATATATTAAATTTTATGTATTATACCTGCTTTTACAAAAGATATGATTCAGTGAGACTCTGAGACTTAAGAAAGGCCAATGTAGTTTGAGTATTATAAAATGAATGGTGCAAAAATTTAGTATAAATAAATATATAGAGATATACACACAGTGTATATATAAACACACATATACATTATGTATTTATATATGTACTAGAGGCCTGATGCACGAAATTCGTGCAAGAGTATGCCTTTCTTCCCCCAGCTGCCGGCACTGGCTTCCCTTTGGCACCTGGGACCGGGGCATCCCTTGCAGCCCCAGCTTCGTCCAGAAGGTCATCTGGTCTAATTAGCATATTACACTTTTATTATTATAGATATTTTAAACACATTTAAATGGCTAGGGTATACTCTATTATCTTATAATTAAAAATTTTAACTTGTGAAAATAACCAAGAATGCTATCAGAAGGAACAATTAATTTCTAGTTTAAATCTGGCATGGAATTTTGAGCTAAGTATCCTAAAATAGACTCACAAAGAAGTCAGCATGTGCTATTCTCAAACTTTGGTAAAGTCTATAATTTGTTTTCACTTTGATATTGTCCCCAACTTTTTTATAGTGGTAAAATACACATATTATAAAACTTACTTTTGAACTTTACACCACATCTATTTTCAGGAAACATGAAAATAGGCTTGAAATCGTTAAATTTAAAAATCCCAGCAACACTCTAAATGGAGAATTTTAAATTTTTGCTATTTCAGATCAATCTGAGAAATCTCTGTGGGTGACTGAGCATGTAGGCTTATGTGTGTAAGACAGAGTGGTAGAATGTGAGTGTGCATGTGTCATAAGTGTAACACAGAAAGCAACAGAGTAAATGTGTTCAGAGTTGAAATAAGAAACTTTCAGTAAACCTTTAGGCTAGAAGTTACTTTTTTTTTTTTTTACAAAAGCCAAGGAGATTTATAAGCCCTCTCACTGCAACATTGCAAGGCATTCTATGGAAGGTAAGCATATTCTGCAGAGAAGGCACTGGGGAAGCATCCATTTTAAACTTCAGCTTTTATAAGCTCTGAAAAGGAACAAGGATATGTAATGAAAAATCAAAAGTCTATATTCTACATTCTCAATTTAAGGCAGAAAGACAGAATTTTTGATATTATCCCAGCACAAGAAAATGTAGCTGGACAAGATGAACTAAAATGGACTGAATGACAGGAGGGTGAGGGCATGAGTGGGGGGGAAGGGGGGCAATGTGGGGATAAGAACACATATGTAATAACTTAATGAATAAAAAATTTTAAAAAATAAAATAAAATAAAATGGGCTGAATGAAATCCAGAAGAGGAATAAAAAATTTTTAAAAATAAAATAAAATGGGCTGAATGAAATCCAGAAGAGGATTAGCTAATAACAGAGACAAGGCAATGACAAAACAAGTCTCTTCTCCCTCAAAATAATCCTACACACTGATTTCATGTATTTTTCTAAAGCACAACTTTGATTACATCTTTTCTTACCCCAAAGCTTTTCTAGTTTTGCCCTGACCTATGTTTTTCTATCTTTGTTTCTTTTCCAATTCACTAAATTACAAAAACAAAACAAAGCAAAAAACTAATTTGGTTGGTAGCCCATCCTATTATAGTAATTAATTTGCTTTTTGTCCTCTGCCATAAATTGTAAGTTTTGGGGATTATTTTTGGTGTTTTTTAAAGAAATATATATTTTTATTGATTCCAGAGAGGAAGGGAGAGGAAGAGAGAGCTAGAAACATCAATGATGAGAGAGACTCATTGATCAGCTGCTTCCTGCATTCCCCACACGGGGATCAAGCCCGCAACCCGGGTATGTGCCCTGACCTGGAATTGAACCGTGACCTCCTGGTTCATAGATCAATGCACAACCACTGAGCCTGGCCATAAATTGTAAGTTTCAAAAAGCATATTAATGTAAAAAAGAAATTAATACAAGAAAACATGTTTAAAGAAATTATAAGGCTGGAGAACCAAGATGGCGGCATAGGTAAAAACATGTACTTGCTGCCTCTCACAACCACATCAAAACTACAACTAAAAGACAAAACATCGATCATCCAAAACCATGGGAAAGCTGGCTGAGTGGAAGTTCCACAACTAGAAGGAAAGAAAAAAGTGCATTGAGACTGGTAGGAGGTGCGGAGTTGTGG